TGTGCTTACTGGGGAGTCTATTTGAAGATTCTTTCCCTCTGCCTCTCCCCCTACTTGCATGCACTCTCTCTCTCTCTAATAAATAAATCTTTAAAAAAAACAAAAAACCGTTGTATCCAGATGTAATTTCCACTGTATAGATTCTATCAGATAACTAAGGATTTGTTTGTTTGTTTTGGACTTTTTATTAAGTTTTTTTATTTTAATTCCTGTATACTTAACATACAGTGTTATAATAGTTTCAGGTGTACAACATAGTGATTGAACAATTCTATACATTACTCAGTGCTCATCATAAATGTACTCTTTAATTCCCATCATCTATGTTACCCATCATCCCACCCACCTCCCCTCTGGTAACCATCAGTTTGTTCTTTAAGATTCTGCTTTTTTATTTCTCTCTCTCTTTTTCCTTTACTCATTTGTTTTCTTTCTTAAATTCCACATATGAGTGAGATTATATGGTATTTGTCTTTCTCTCACTGACTTGTTTCACTTAGCATTACACTCTCCAGCTCTATCCATGTCATTGCCAATGGCAAGATTTCATTCCTTTTTATGGCTGAACAATATTCTATTGTACACCACATCTTCTTTATCCATTCATCCATAGGTGGACATTTGGGCTGTTTCCATAATTTGGCTATTGTAAATAATGCTGCAATAAACATAGAGGTTCATGTATCCCTTTGAATTAGTGTTTTATATTTTGGGTACCCAGTAGTGCAATTACTGGATCATAGGGTAGTTCTATGTTTAACTCTTTTTTCAAAAAAATATTTTATTTTTAAGTAATCTCCACACCTAACATGGGGCTCCAACTCACAACCCTCAGATCAAGAGTAACATGTTCCACTGACTGAGTTAGCTAGGAGCCCCCTATATTTAACTTTTTAGGGTACCTCCATACTCTTCCAGATTGGCTGCACTGGTTTGCATTCCCACCAACGGTGCAGGAGGGTTTCTTTCTCTCCACATCCTCGTCAACACTTGTTGTTTCTTGTGTTGTTGATTTTAGCCATTCCAACAAGTGTGAGGTGATATCTTGTGGTTTTGATATGCATTTCCCTGATGGTAAGTGATGATGAACAACATCTTTTTATGTGTCTGTTGGCCATCTGAATGTCTTTGGGGAAATGTCTGTTCATGTCTTCTGTCCACTTTTTAATTGTTTATTAAATTTAATTATTTAATTGTTATTTGTTTTTTTGGAGGTATTGAGTTGTATCAGTTTTTTAAATTTTTTTATTTTTTTATTAACATATAATGTATTATTAGCCCCAGGGGTACAGGTCTGTGAATCATCAGGTTTACACACTTCACAGCACTCACCATACCTTCCCCAATGTCCATAACCCAACCACCCTCTCCCTCCCCCCCACTCCTGGGAACCCTCAGTTTGTTTTGTGAGATTAAGAGTCTCTTATGGTTTGTCTTCCTCCCAATCCTATCTTGTTTCATTTATTCCTTTTCTACCCCCCAAACTCCCCATGTTGCCTCTCAACTTCCTCATATCAGGGAGATCATATGATAATTGTCTCTCTCTGATCTCTCTATTTCGCTCAGCATAATACCCTCTAGTTCCATCAATGTCGTCACAAATGGCAAGATTTTATTTCTTTTGATTGCTGCATAGTATTCCATTGTATATATATACACCACATCTTCTGTATCCATTCATCTGTTGATGGACATCTAGGTTCTTTCCATAGTTTGGCTATTGTGGACATTGCTGCTATAAACATTCGGGTGCACGTGCCCCTTTGGATAACTACATTTGTATCTTTAGGGTAAATACCCAGTAGTGTGATTGCTGGGTTGTAGGGTAGCTCTATTTTCGAGTTGTATCAGTTTTTATGTATTTTGGATACTAACCCTTTATTGGATATGTCATATCTTGTCTCATTCAGTAGCTTGTCTTTTAGTTTTTTTGTTGATTGTTTCCTTTGCTGTTCAGCTTTTAATTTTGATGTAGTCCCAATAGTTCATTTTTGCTTTTGTATCCCTTGCCTCAGGAGACATATCTAGAAAAGTGTTGCAACATCTGCTGGCAGAGAAATCAGTATCTGTGCTCTCCTCAAGGATGTTTACAGTTTCAGGTCTCTATTTTGGTCTTCAATCCATTTTGAGTTTTTGTTTATGGTGTAAGAAAGTGATCCATTTTCACTTTTTTGCCTGTGGCTGTCCAGTTTTCCCGACACCGTTTGTTGAAGAAACTGTTTCCCATTGCATATTCTTTCCTCTTTTGTTGAAGATTAATTGACCATACAATTATAGGTTTATTTCTGGGCTTTCTATTCTGTTCCAAGATCTATCTCATTCCTTTTCATAGTTGCATAGTATTCCAAGGCATCAACAAATCAAAAATCATGGTGTATTTAATGATACCTCTAAGTTTCTCATTTTAGTCATCACAAACAAAACAGTGATAAACATATTTGTTCATATCCTTTGAGAGCAGTGATTTCTTTTTTTTTTCTCTCTTTTTTTAACAGTGTTTGTATTTCAATTGGTAAGATTCTCAAAAGTGGGACTATTGGATCAAATGGTACCTGCATTATTTTATTTTAGTAGATATGACCATATTATTTTCTTAAAAGATCGCAGCAGTTCACATTCCAATATGCAAAGTTGGAGGTGCTGTTTTCCTGTATCCTTACCACCTCTAGCATATTGTTATTCTTCTCAACATTTGCCAAAATGATGGAATAAAAACAGCACAGTATTGCTCTTGGATTGCATTTTCTCAACCCCTGCTCAATTACAGTAACCTCAGTTCAGTTATTTTATTTTTTATTTCTAGAAGGTCTTTTTGGCTTTTTTCAAATCTGCCTGGTAATTTTTGATCATATCTTCTTGGTCTTTGCTCATGTTCTACATAACCCTTATATTTATTTAAGCACATTAAACACTTATTTTATATTCTGTATCCAGTAATCTCAATATCTGAGTTGCTTGTGGATCTGCTGACTCTTGCTCATGGTATCTCGTTTCCTTTTGTATTTCGGGATTTCATATTGTGAGCTTGCATTTACTGGACTGTGTGGGTTCTTTCAAGTTTGGTGCGACCGTGGACTTTCCTCCAGGAAGGGTTTTCATTTTCTTTGTCAGGCATCTGAGGAACTACCAACCTAGGTCCATTTAAATTAAATTCCTAGCTGATGTTGCTGTTTTTGATCATTTAAGAAAGTGAATATTTGGGGTGCCTGGATGGCTCAGTCAGTTGAGTGTCTGCCTTTGGCTCAGGTCATGATCTCACGGTCCTAGGATTGAGCCCCATGTTAGGCTCTTTGCTCAGTGGGGAGTCTGCTCCTCCCTCCCTCCCTCCCCCATCATGCCTTCTCTCCCTATCTTTCTCTGTCTCAAATAAATGAATAAAATCTTAAAAAAAAAAAAAATAAAGTGAATCTTTGGGTCCCAGATCCATTTAAGCTCTAGCCTATAGTCAGACCTTTTCAGGAAGTTTTTTCTCCACCCAGAACCAAGGAATAAGACAAGCACAGCATTCCCCTTTGAGTGGAGGATTGTTTTATAATTTACCTTTTTGTATTCCTTGATTCAAAGTCCTATGCTGTGAGTGGCCCAGACTTTGTCTCCTACTTTCTCTCTCTCTTTTTTGGGGGGGGGGGGCTTTGCGTTATGCACTTCACAAGTACTGCATTTTTTACAAACTGAAGTTTTGTGGCAACCCTACATCAAGCAAGTCTATCAGCACCATTTTTCTTTCTTCCTTCCTTTCTTTTTTTTTTCCGAAAAGATCACCAAGCCAAACATTTGGCCATATTTTTATATACTATGTATACTATAAACATATACTAGTTACAAAAAACATTTTTTAAAAATTTAACTGTCAAGAAAGTGTATAGTGTTAAATTTTCTGTTCCAAGATCCCATCCAGAATTCCACATTACATTATATTTAGTTGTTATGTTTCCTTAGACTACTGTTGGTCATGACAGCTTCTCAGATTTTCCTTGTTTTATTTATTTACAATTATTTATTTATTTATTTATTTGACAGAGAGAGAGAGAGCACAAGCTGGGGGAGCAGGAGAGGAAGAAGCAGGCTCCCTGCTGAAAAGGGAGCCCAACATGGGTCTAGATCCCAGGACCCTGGGATCATGACCCCAGCTGAAAGCAGACTCCCAACTGACTGAACCGCTCAGGTGCCCCCAGATTTTCCTTGTTTTAATGACTCCAACAGTTTTGAGGATTATTAGTCAGGTATATTGAGGAAAGTCACTCTGTTGGAATTTGTTAGATGTTTTTCTCATGATTAGATTGGGATTATGGGTTTTGGGTAGAAGATCACAGAGGTAAAGTGCCATTTTCATCACAACATTCCAAGGGTATTTACTATCATCTTGATGTTGACCTTGATTACCTGGCTGAGGTAGGGTTTGTCAAGTTTTTGTTTCTGGTGTTTCCCCCCCCCCCCCCCCCCCCCCCCCCGCCCCCGGCTTCCTTTTCATGCTGTCCTCTTTGGAAGAAAGTCACTATGCATGACCATACTTTAGGAGTGAGGAATTACGCTCCCCCTCTTAGGGTTATGTTTTAACAAGCAAAATAACCCACACGACAGGTATCTTAGCTCTTTGCATCAGTGGTCATGCCTTGAACTTTTAGCAGCTGATCCTAAGTGGAAACATATTCTGCACTGGCCACCCTATCTTTTGGAGCCTCACTTTCCTCATTTGTAAAGTGAGGGTTATTGATCCTTCACCCCTAGAACTGTAGAGAGTAGAAAGTCTCCTGCTGTCGGTGTCAATTCCCTCTGCCTCCGGCTTTTGGCTGTCTGGGAGCCCCCTCCGAGAGAGGGTCAGTGATGACCTAAGGTCTCACCGCATGCTTGGCAGAGCCAAAGTCAACCCCGGGCTCTAACCACACCCTGGGTCCACTTTGCCCCACCCGGGGGCGTGGAGCAAAGGTGTACTTCCGCCAGCCAGCCGTAGGTACCTTACACGTGGCGGGGCTGGGTGCCCAGTCACCTGCAGGACCAGAATGATGAGTCTGAGCTCGGGACCCCGCTCCCCGCGGCCCAGCCAGCCCTTCCCCTCCACCGGCCCGTCAGCGGTGAGTGCGCAGCCGCGAGGGCGGCTCAGTCCTTGTGCTTCTGCCTTCTTTCACTCCTTTCAGTGTCCGTATGTCCTTTCCTCAGGGTCTGAGTCCCTTAGCTTCTGGCGCGTCCCTGGCTGAGCGCTCTCCTCCCCTAGCTAGTTCTGGCTTTGATCTCTCCTTCTGCCCACCCGTGCCCGTTCCCTGCCTGGCTCGGTCCAGCCTCTCCTCCTTGCCCTCTTTCCTGCCTGGCCGCTTTTATCTCCCCCTCTCTGTTTAGTCTTTGTGTCAGCTGTTTTCTTTGTGTCTCCCCTCAGTCCCTGGGCTTGTCCTAGTCCACCGCTCTTCCGCTGCCCCTCCTCCTCCCGTGTATGAGAGCAGAAGACCCGACGGAAGGCTGCGGGGCTCTCATTCCCTCACCACCACACCCAGCCTGCCCCTCTGGCAGGGTCCTGAGTCGCCTGCCTGCCTTCCCCCTCCCAGGGCTTGGTTGAGGGGAGTTTGCGGGGAGAATCCGGAAAAGACCCAATGCATTCCAGGAGCAGAACATTCTAATCTGTCCTGGGCTGGGTGCCCTCCGGAAGACTCGTAGGAAAGCAGAGCAGATCCAGCAGGGGGAGATGGTGGCTCTTTCCCCTAGGGCAGTGATAATGTCACTGTCACCTGCTCCGTGGCAGGGCCGCCCTAGGGGCTCAGTATATGTCTGAACGAATTATTGAGCAAGAGAGGGAGCCAGCAGGGAGCGTGATGCCAGGTAGGGACAGACTGGCTTTTATCAGAATACCAGGCGCTCCTGTAATCAGTGCATCCGGTAAGCTCCAGCTTAATAAATGAACATTTACGGAGCATCCTGATGTGCTGGGCCCTGCAGTAGGTATTGGCAATACAGAGAGGAATGGGGGATAGTCATCCCTTAGGAATCTCATGGTCTAGCGGGGGATATGGATGAACAAATGGAATTACAGGGCCCTGTAGAATCACAAGGAGACAAGCCATCTAGAAAGATTTCTGGAGGAATTAACTTGAAGGATGAGTGGCCTAAGCGAAGCGAGTGTGGGCAGCAAATGAGTCAAGTCCTGGAGGCATGGGGGACCAGCCTGCTCTGGATGGGTGGGGGCAGAGTGTTTCTGGTAGTTGATTTTGCCAGGGCTGCAAAGGGCCTTGTAAACCTTATTAAAGGGTCTAGAGTTTATCTGGAAAGGGATGCAAAGTGCCTGAAGTGTTTAATGCAGGGTGTGAGCAGATCAGATTTGCACTTCGGAAGAATGACTCTGACTTCAAAGCAGAGATTGGATTGGGGAAGGGGCGTGGGGCCGTGGAATTGACCAGAACTGAGAATCACCAGGACTTGATTATGATTACCTAGGTGGGAGGAGGTTGAGGATAGGAGCAGATTGCAAGATTACAACCTGGATTTCGGGCTCAGGATGAATGAGATAGGGAACAATGGAAAAGGTCAGGGTTGTGGGGTGGGGAGAGATATAGTGGGGCTTGGGAGACATAGGAATGGCGATGCCTCTCCATTGACTCTACTAAGGGTGACCTCAGGAAATGTCTGGATGTTTGTCAGGGGGTTTGCAGGTGTGTAGTAACCCTTTAGACTGCAACTGGGTGAGAGCTAGGTCTGTCTGATTCTCCCCTGTGGCCTGAGGGCCAGCACTGGCCTGACCCCCAGCAAGGGCTCCTAACGATCAAGTTTCCCCAGCCCATGCACACAGGGCCCGAGACAGGCTTTCCTACCCAGGAATGTTTCAGCAGGGTGACTGGGGGGTAGAAAAGGTGAGGAAGAGCTGCCACAAAAATGGGTCGGTGGTCAGAAGAGGGGTGGAAAAGAAGTCTTTATTGGCTAGAAACATACTGTAGTATTTGTGGATGAGGAAGGAGGTCTGGGGTTGCCAAAGAAATTGGAAGATTTTGGGAAAAAAAGAAGGGGACAGAGAGATAGAATTGAGTCTGGGAATACAGCTGAGGTCTTATTTGGTAAACAAAGAAATGGGCCTGAAGGTATCAGGGCAGGAAGCATTTTGTGAGCTTCAGAAACAACATTTGAAGTGATTGGATTCATGAGACTTTCAGAGCTGGAGAGACAGAGTCCACCTTGTGCTTTTTGGGTCCCTTTTTCATAGAGCTTTAGGCCCACTGAAGAAAGTGAGCTCGGCAGACACATCGTTACTTATTGGCAGGGGTGGGACTGGTGTTGGGAGGTGTAGAACACCCATCCACGTACTGGAGTCACACTGATAAGGGTTTGATTGCATCTCTGACTTCACTTCCTAGCCCTGTCACCCATCTTTCTGAGCTTTCCTTGCCTGCAATATATGGACCTTAAGAGCACCTGTGAGCTTTCGGGGCATAGGCGTGAAGAGAGTTCATCAATCTATCAAGGATTGAAGTCTGCAACTTTGCGTTTAACTGCCCGCTTCACAGAGCCAGCTCAGGGTTAACCGAACAGCCTTGCCAAGGGGCCGTGAGATTTAGGGGAGAAAGAGGAAGTCACAGGTTCTCAGTTTATTTTTCTCAAGGCAGGCCCACAGGCTGTATTGTTTGGCTGCTGTCAGAATGCATCCTCTTGGTCTCCCTTCTCTACTCCAGCCCGCAGAACTGTCCACCCCCAGCTGTTGCCATGGCAACTTAGCTCTCCACCCCACCCCCCCAGCTGTTTGGCTGCCCCTGGCTCTCTTTATTCCAGTACTTTAACCTTAGAGGTAGAGCCCATACTCAAGTTGAGAATGAAGTCACACCTAAATGAGAACCCAGGGCATGTTTAAACCCTGTCACTACTCCTGGCTCTGCAGTGACCTGTGGCTGAATCTCCAGGATGGAAATGCAGCCTTCCCTCTGACGCCACCCTGATCTTTTCTGTGGCTGCAGCCATCACACTTACTTGGAAACCCTCCTCGACAACCTCCAGCACACACCAATCCACACAGAGAGCCTTTGAGTCCCCTCTGGGCGCCTGCACATTTAAGCCCTCTGTTTTCCTCTTTCCTCTGTGAGCTCTGTGAGAGCAGGGGGCAGGGACCGTGTCCTCTTCCTCTGCTCAGGAGGAGGCTTGAATGTAATAGGCCCTCTATGTTTTTTGGAATGAATGAGTAACTAAGGGAATGAAGAGTGGAGGTTTTAAAGGTTGAAAACTGGCTGATGTAATGACCAAGAGCACATGCTTCGGGGTAATGTGGCCCCGAGTTTAAGTTCTGACATCATCACTTAATAGCTGGTTGCTTTTAGGCAATTTACTTCAGCTCCTTAATGCTCCATTTCTTCGCCTGTAAAATGAGGATTTAATTCATTCTTCATAGGATTGCTGTGAGGATTGAATTAGAGGTTGAATGTAAAGCGCTCTGGACAGTTACTAGACTAGGAGGAAAGAGACTGTTCCACTTGCTCCTCAGTGTTCCAGTACCTGGCACACATGTATTTTATGGATGGAGTGAGTCAATTTTATTTATTTATTTATTTATTCATTAAGATTTTATTTATTTGACAGACAGAGATCACAAGTAGGCCGAGAGGCAGGCAGAGAGAGAGAGAGGGAAGCAGGCTCCCCGCTGAGCAGAGAGCCCGATGTGGGGCTCAATCCCAGGACCCTGGGATCATGACCTGAGCCGAAGGCAGAGGCTTTAACCCACTCACTGAGCACCCAGGCACCCGGAGTGAGTCAATTTTAGATAACCAAAGTTATTCAGGAAGTTGGTTTATAAGGCTAACAACTAGTGTATCACCTCACATGTAATAATCTTCTGGTATTTTTGTTAGGTCTGCTGGCAGCACTCAGTGTTCCCCAAATACAACCTGACTCTCTGTCCGTTCCCATGTCCCCCTTGCACTGGCCTGTGGGCATCTCCAGGCGGGCACCATGTGGGTCTTCACCACATCCTTAGTGCTCAGCTCAAGGTGCGGCAGAGAGAAGAGGCCTCTAAAAATTCTGCAGGCCGGCTAACCCTAACTTCCATTGCCACCACACTGTACAGTTTATGAGGCAGTTTTATACCCATTGTTCCTGGTGTTACTGACCTTTTCAGCACCAAGGATATTCCTGTTATTTAATACCCACCAGCCCATATTTTGAAAGATGTCTATCATGCAAATTTCCTTAATTAATGAATCTAAGTCATGCCAGCTGCTAATCAGAACTTCTGGCCTATATTAAACAAGAATTTGTATCCCCAACTCGCACCACCCGTTATGGACACACAGTAAGTAAGTACCCAAGAAATGCCCAAATGCTTCCCAAATGAACACACCTATGGCTTCTTAGCGTCTCTGAAGTCGAAACACCCCCCTCCCCACCTTTTAACTATATCTTAGATCTGAGCTTCCCGCCTTGGGAACTTCTGACTTCACAACAGCTCCATATTTCCATTTTATAAATGAAGAAACAAGCATAAGGAGGGAAAAAGCTCTGCCAAAGGCCACAGGCTTTGCAAGTGTTGTCACTGGGACTTGCTTCCATAGCAGCCTCCTGGACTGATATTCTATAATATTCTATGGATGAAAATAAGCCATAAACTCCCTAGAGGTGACACTACCATTCCACTCTGCCTTCTTGTGCCCTCAGGGATCTCCTGTCCTGGAGCTTAACGTGGGAGGCGAGTTGTACACCACCACCGTGGGCACCCTGAGAAAGCTCCCGGGTTCAAAGCTGGCAGAGATGTTCTCCAGCTCCGCTAAGGCCTACACGGATGCAGAGGGCCGCTTCTTCATTGATCGCCCTGGCACCTATTTCGGACCCATCCTGGACTACCTGCGCAGCGAGCGGCTGCCCACACACCACATCCTGGAGGTGTACCGCGAGGCGCAGTTTTACGAAATCAAGCCTCTGGTCAAGCTCTTGGAGGACACGCCGCAGATCTTCGGTGAGCAGGTGGCCCGGAGGCAGTTCTTGCTGCGGGTGCCGGGCTACAGCGAGAACCTGGAGCTCATGGTGCGCCTGGCGCGCGCCGAGGCGGTGGCGGCTCGCAGCTCCGCGGTGCTGGTGTGCGTGGTGCGCACCGAAGAAGACGCGGTGCTCTGTGCAGATGCCCTGCGGGTCCTGGAGGCCGAAAAGAGGTCGGTGGTCAAGTTCGGCCCCTGGAAGGCGGCCCCGCAGGTCAAGGACCTCCTCGACTGCGTGAAGATGGACATTACGGCCCAGGGGTACCAGGTACACTATGAACAGTTCTCAGAGAGGACGTTACGGGCCAAGCACTTCGGTTACTTTTACACATTCGTCTTCATCTGGTGGTGATCCCCGGGGGGTGGGGGCGCGGGGACAGTTTGTTTCGGGTTCTGGTGCGACTTATGAAATTAAAAGTTGCCTTCAAAATTCTTCTTACTTTAATTAAAAGAAAAATCAAACAACTCCCCCTCACCTCCGGATAATTATTTCCCTGTTGAGGACTTTCTACTCATTGAGCTGATTCCACTGTACTTGCCTAGTAAGGTGCAGCTGCCGCCTCTTTAAAGCCTCCCCTACCTGTCAGATCCTTCCCTTCAAGTCCAAATGGCAAGGCTGAGATGAGTTGGAATGTTTCAACCATACTTTGACTGGAGATGGCGGATGATAACAGGAAGGTAACAGAGTACCATGAATCTAGATAAAATGATCTGAAAATGTAGTCTACGCAGGCTCGGCGCGTGGTCCAATCCTCTCGCCCTGTTAATATGCCTTAATGAGGAAGATGCCAAGTTCATACCTGTAGTAGATGCCACTCAGATCTCCTTTCCCAGGTGCTGTGAGTGTTGACTTCTAAAGCCTCACAGCTGTCTTTTTCTCTAGGACAGTGATTTTCAAAGTATGGTCCCTGGACCAGCAGCATCAGCAATACATGGAAACTTCTTAGAAATACAAATTCTCAGACCTATCCAATCAGACACTCTGATAGTTGACCCAACAGTCTGTTTTAATAAGCCCCTCCCCCCAAGTTGATTCTGATGTACCCTAACTTCGAGACCTGCTCTAGAAAAGAATTGCCATCTTGCTTGTAGGGAGGTATGGAAGACTGAGTCCTCACCTCAAGGAGGAATCAACTCTGGTGCAGCTTGTGTTCTGGTGCTCCTTGTGGGATCAGGCTGGAGTCAGTCTTCATCTGACACCATATTTTTACTCAGCATTCTACCGCTGCTGTATACCCTACTTTTCTCACTCTCCATCCCCTGAGAGCACATCCTCAATAAACCACTGGCACAAGAGTCTCTGTTTCAGGTTCTGCTTCTGAACCAAAGACAGTAATAATGCAACTCTAAGGAGGACACAGTAGACATTATCCTTCTCTAAGTCCAGGTCTGAGATAGATGGCCCCTTCCCCGTCCTGCCTAGTAGGGTGACCAGCCGTCCTCATTTCCCTGGCACTAAAGATCAAGGTTAATATCCAAGGTTTGAGGCATTATCGCTGTCAGGGAGTTTCAGATTTAAACACAGAATTGCTCAGAACAGTAATTTCCAATGAGCATAATAATTCAATAACCACATCTGCTTGTATTTTTTTATTTTCAAAACATTTTTCATGTTTTCCTTTTAGTATTTAATATGGCCGACAATTTTAAGTGAAAAAAATCCTGAATGTCTATTTGACCTTTTTATCATGAACCAACTCAACATTATTTATCAAGAACCTGAAAAAAAGTTTATACTCTGATCAGTAATCACATTTATGAGATTAGATTACCAGGAGACACTCTGTTCTGTAAGATCTAAATAGGATTGCTTAAAATCTCAATTTTGCAAATTATGTAAAGGTCTGCATCCTCCTCAAGATTTCTGTACATTCTCAGATGGCTTGTTGTCTTCTGGTCAATCCTGGTTCTTTGCTCCTGCTGGATTCATGGATCATCTAGATGTCTTGAGCTTGTTTATCGCTGTTCTACACAATGCTCACCCAGACGGAACACACACATATTTTTCCTAATTTTTACAAATGCTACTCCCATGAGCTATTTGTGCACACAGCTGACTGTGGCAAGTATAGGCACATAAAGGAGAGAGAGTTTACCAGACAGAAATGCAAATAACTTCAAATTGAGGACTGGTCTCATCTCTTCTTAAAGTCACCCCCATCACTAGGGGCTTTTCCCTAGCATATTGTATTTGTTTCCTATTCTTTCTTCCCTCCCTGTTCTTGCCATGCTTCTCTATAGGTGGGAGTAATCCTCCCACCCCAGTGACTTCACGCTTGGCTTCATGACTTAATCTGGCCAATGGGATATGCAGCAAAGTGACTGTGCCAGTTCTAAACTCAGGCTTTAGAGGCATGCCAAGTTTCCATCAGCCCTCTTGTGCTCTTGTCATTTGCCAGGAGAAGACCACATTCCGGTTACCGACCTCTTTTAATGCTTTGGCTTTAACCTGCAGGCAAGCCCTTAGGATCTGACCTTCTTCCTGAGCCATTTATCAAATTATTTTATTAAATAAAGGCAATTTCAATATCCCCTCCCCATTCCCAATCCATAATACAGTTAACATAACATACTATTTTCATCCCACTTAAATTATAAAAGCTAAACAATGGGAAATAAGTCAAGCATATTATATTACCTTTATATAATGCAATGTTATACAGTGACAAAAATTATATTTATAGAGGCTTAAAATTATTGGGGAAGGGAATACTCATTTAATGCAATGCAATTTAATTTAATCTGTGCTCAAAAAAAAAAAAGGGATTTAAGGTGGTGGGGCTTAAAAGGCTATGAAAAAAAGAAATATCCAAAAAGGTACAAGTAAGAAGTACATAAATGAAGGGGACATTCTTGGTTGCTTACCCAACAGTACCATCTCCTCCCTTCCCATTTCCCAACAGAAAAAGCAAAATAGTAAAACACATTAATAATGTTTAAAAAGCTATCTCTGGATATTTGTACGGGTACATGATACTTTTCCTAATCTATTGGGATTAACTAAAGAGAATTAGAGTCAGAGGAGGAAAACCTAAAAATGAGTGGTAAATATAACTGTCATTGTAATCCAAAGGAAAACACAAAGATTGAAACCTGTGAGAGTGCCCCACTGAGGCACACTAGTTCATAGCACTCTGCCAGGTTCTCAGGTCTCCATTGTCTTAGAGGACCTCTTTTTTTTTTTTTTTTAAATTCTCTATTTTCCCATCCTTTCCTACTCCCCTCTGCCATCAATTTCTGCTGTGATCAGTGACCTGGGAAGCTGGTCCTCCCTGTTCCTCTGTTTCCTAGAGTTGGAAAGTACTAGAGTGGAAGATCAGTGACAAGAAGGCTTGAGGAGTTGGTGTGTTCTTGGAATGGTGAAAGTATCTGTGTTTCTTACAAATGCCCACCAGAGGGCATCCATTCTAGAAAAGGCTCTAAAAAAATAAATGGACACAATGATATAACCTATGGATGTCAGTCAGCCTCTTTTTCCAGCTCCCCAGTGTTTGTTCAGTGGAATCATGAAAATGGTGGACATAATAGCTATGCATGGGCTCTACAGTATAGATTTTCTTTCACCAGAGCTGGTCTGGCTCCTAATGGATGTCCAACAGCAGAGATCAACCCGGTATTATATCTGCAGGATGGGGAGGGGGGTGGTGTGGAACTAGACACTTCTTAGTGATAGGTTGATGGCACTGCAAATCAGTTAGCTGTGCTACTCTGTAAGAAACCATTGGGAGTAACGCTGACATTTCTAAGCAAATGGCATTGACAGCTTTGTTTGAAGATGTTTGCAAATCTGCTTAGGGGTAGGGAGGAGATTTCCTTACTTAGAAAAATTTAAATAAATAATAGTCATAAAGATAATAAAGCTGAGGGGCGCCTGGGTGGCTCAGTGGGTTAAAGCCTCTGCCTTCAGCTCAGGTCATGAACTCAGGGTCCTGGGATCGAGCCCCGCATCGGGTTCTCTGCTCAGCGGGGAACCTGCTTCCCTCTCTCTCTCTGCCTGGCTCTCTGCCTCCTTGTGATCTCTCTCTGTCAAATAAATAAATAAAATCTTAAAAAAAATAATAAAGCTGATATCACCCTTCAATCCTGGAGCTATTTCAGAATAATTAAAAAAACAGCCCCTACTGGGATGCCGAAGTGGCTGGTCAGTTAAGCATCTGCCTTCGGCCCAGGTCATGATCTCAGGGTCCTGGCATTGAGCCCTGTGTCGTGTCCAGCTCCCTGCTCAGCAGGGAGTCTGTTTCTCCCTGTCCCCCTGCTCAAGTTCTCTCTCTCTCTCTCTCTCTCAAATAAATAAAATCTTTGTTAAAAAAATGTCTCCACTGGGTTGGAAGGCAGACTTGTTTCCTGACCAGTATAATAACGTCTCTCTCCAGAGGGCAGGTTTGCTAGCATTCCTCTTTTGAGATTGACGGTTTCCTAAACTCGGTGTTCTTCATCTGTGTTACAGACCTATTGTGTGCATTGTGTTCACCTGCATCACCTCCATGGTGCTTGGGGGGCAAAGGGAACCAATGGAAACATGAGGTTCATGCTGCCTTGCTATGCTGTGAACAATATCTATCTAAATCGATTTGGGCTTGTCTCCTTACCAGCTGAATCTATGGAAGTATTGCAAATCTACCTCTTAGGGACTGTTTGACCACATGACAACTCTCCGATTTCCAAACTTAATGCCTTAAGGCTATAATCATTAATTATTTCTCACAAAACCACAGATTGGGCAATTCCTCTGGTCTTGGTTGGGCTCCCTCATGCATCTGTGGTCAGATGGTGGATCAGCTGGGGTGGGCTGGTTTAAGATGGCCTCAGCTTGGTCACTTGGTTTGTTTCATCTGGTCACCCAATATCCAGCAGTCTAGGTTGGAATGATTCTCATGGCAATGGTAGGGTTCCAAAATCAAACAAAATGTCTGGAGAATGTGTATGTAGATGGACCTAAGGCCTAGCTAGAAAACTGTCATGCTGTCACTTCTGCCATTTTCTTTCTTTTTTTTTTTAATATTTTATTTATTTATTTGACAGAGATCACAAGTAGGCAGAGAGGCAGGCAGAGATAGAGGAGGAAGCAGGCTCTCCACTGAGCAGAGAGCCCGATGCAGGGCTTGATCCCAGG